AAATAAAACGAGCAATTCAAGATTATCAATCTCAAATAATTACAGAAGAAAGCTTAAAAGAAAAGCTAAATAAAAATTTGAAAGATTTACCAACAGGAACATTAAGACAATTAGTCTGTAACCTCTTCTATACGACATTAGAAAGAGAATCTAAACAACTAACAAAAGTAGTTGAAGAAATAGATAGACAAACAGAACCAATAAATTGGTATCAGAAGTAACATCTAAAATAGATGAACATACCACCTGAATTTCAAGAAATAATTAGAACAGTACAAGCAATAGCTGAACTTCAAACAGCAGTTGAAGAAATAGGACAATTCAAATACTTCCTAACTCAAACAGAATTGAGAATAGATTATATAAGAGCAAATATAGGACTAGGAAGAATAATAACATTAGAAAATTTAAACAGCTCAATAACAGAGCAAAAAGAACGTCTAAAAGAAATTATTGAAACATACGAAGATATTGAAGAACAACAGAAAGATAAATTAAAACAATTATTAGAAGAATTATTCCTAATAATAAGGAAAGAATCAACCTTTGACGGTCTAACAAGAGAATTAGCAGAAGTATCAATAAAAATAAAGAAAACAATCCAACAACTAAATCAAGTAGGAATACGATTACAAGAAGAAAACCTACTAGTAACATTACCAAATAATACTCAAGATGAGTCAGAAATCTAGAGTATCTAACTTAACTGTTAAGATACAAGAAGAAAATAAAAAACAAATATAAAAAGAAAGTGTAGAAGCATAGATTGAACAAAAGAAAGAGTCCAAACAATTTGAAGATATTGCAAAAGAAATGAGTATAAACAGTATCATCGACAAAATGATATACCAAGAATTACAACAAACAATAGAGAAAAGCTTTAAAAGCATTAAAGCTACAATAATAGTAGTAACAGGGGCAATAGCAGTCGGAAAGACAACTGCATTATTAGAAATAAAAAACTTCTTTGAGAAGCAAGGAATTCAAGTATTCCAATTCAAAGCAATATCAGAAAAATCATCAGAATTACTAAAACTAATGTATTTAGCAAAGCAAAACACATTTGCATTACAGATATTCATATTACAAGAATTCCAAAAGAATTTATTACAATTAAAGATACTGAAATTAGAAGGAAAAATTAATGAGAAAACAATAATACTCTTTGATAGAGCAGTACCAGACACAATAATATTCGAAATGAATAATATCCAAGACATACAACAAATGGAAATACTAAAGAAAATAAGAAAAGATCTTAGTGAAAACCTGATCAATCAATATGATTATGTATTATTCTTCAAACTAACAATAAAAGAAATGCTTAAATGATTTAATGAAAGAAAGCGAGAATCTGATAAGCAAATATCAGAAGAATATCTAGTTGATATATATGACAGATATGAAGAAATGATTGAAATGATATATCCAAATTATATTGAAATCAACAACAATCACAAAGG